AACCCGGCAGTCGGTCACCCCGTATCAACGCAGAGTTGTCATCCCTCTTGGTTCAAGCATGCAAGCCAGGTTCGCTCGTGCGCCACAGTCGGTCGCGGCCCCGCACGTCGACCCCACATACCTGACACCAGCTCGTCGGATCGCCCAACTCTCACACTCACTTACCTTCCAAACTTGCTCGTTAGCCGGCCCTCACTGATCGCGCTAACCTCAAAATTCTTAGAGAGCCAACTAATCGCGCTTGCGAAATTTATAGCGTGCACGCTTGGGCGAGGGATCTGGGATTAGCCCCAAGTGATGAGAAGGAGAAGAGAGGAAGTGCCTACGTCTGCATGTCTTGGCCGCGGTGTGGGGGACTGAGCCACTCTCCGCGCATTGATCCGGTCATGCAGGCATAGGAACCAATCAGGTCAGGGAATAAGGTGTGCATGCACGGGCGAGCACAAGGCAGGAAGAGGGAAGAACATGAAGGACATCAAGAACGAGAAGATTACAGTTGCAATTACACCCACCAAAACTTTTACAGTTACGTGCAATATTAAGGCGCAAAAAGAAATAAGAACCCAGATCTTGTCGCGGCAAGGCGTGCGTAAGCAGGGAGCGCCGCGCAACAAAACCCAGAAGGCGCCTAAATTCCTATCTTAAGTCCTAATTGCAAAGGAAAAATTCCGAAGAAAAACAATTCCGAGCTCGTGGAGGGGCTCGACACCAGTTGACAATTCAAAAACGATATTCCCGCGCGACGATCGCGCCAAAATCCCCAGTGCGCACAGCAGAACAAGAAAGAAAAAAGTTATTGTACAGTTATTCTTCACGCTCGCTAAGGCGCGGTTTTCTGACCACTGGCACAGGATCTTCCCGACACCGATCCGACATTCTCAGCAGAAAAACGAAAAAGAAGTGAGGACATCCATGCAAATTGCTCGCCCGACCCGTCTGCCCATCGCTCACCCCTTCGTTCGTATTTCCCCAAAGCAGCTTCGCGCAGAAAATCGCGCGGTTTCAGAAAGTGGTTCGTCACAAGGTTAGGTTGTAAGAGTTTTCCATTAAATTTTGCTTCGTTTCTCAGTCTGTACAACTGAATGTATTTTTTATTTTATCTAAGTTTCTCTTTCCAGACTGGGTTTGTTCTCGGGACTTCCCGGAAGGATCCAATAAGTCAAACTGGATCCCAGTTTGCTTCGCAGCTATCGTGGACCAGCTATGTCCCAGTCAGTTCCTAGGTTTCCAGGTCTCTGAGGTTCAAGTTGTTCTCAGAAGAATGGTTTGGCTCGTCCTGTCGGGCCCAGGTTGCTCGCAGCGCTTTTCAGTTTCCTCCTCAGTTCGTTCTCACTTCCTTAATAGCTGATGCTAAATAAACTTGTTCTTTTTTTTTTTTTTTTTTTTTTTTTTTCAAGATTTGTTCTGGATTCAAACTGAGGTTCTGTATTTTAACAGCTCATGGGTGTACCAACTGAGCTACGTAGGGGGGTAACGGCGGTCAGTTAACTTCTTAAAGTTTGTTCTTTGCAGCCTTCATGCTGCTGGGGGACCCGCCAGCATGGCATCGAGCTTATGTTCTTCTTGTTTTTTATACCAGGCTGCCCCGGATTTTCGTGAGTATCCTTGGGTTTTGATCGCCCTTCGTGTGCGGTTCTTCTCCGTTTCCTCATCATGATGATGGTTTGGAATCTCGGTCTTAATATGTGTGTACATCCGCTTCAAATTGATTCGCATGACATTTGTTTTCCTCTCTCCATTCACTCTCCTCTTTCGGCCTTCTTGCATTCACATTTTTGCATCTATCTATTTCCCATCTATTCTTGCCAGTTCCTTCTCCCTTCCTGAGGTCGTTCTCCGCTTATTTGTTCCTCTCTTTTTTTGGGGGGGGGAAAGGAGGGGGTACCATTTCTCAAATTATGCATGTCATCCTTGCGCAGAGGTCCAAGGACATGCTCATCTTTATGTCCTGAAGGACCTCTCCTTTGTTCCTCGTCGTTTCTCCTCATCTCCTTTCTTTGTGCCAGAGACAGGCCAGCCTGGAGAACCAGGAGCTGTAAGGGAAGCTCGAGAATTCACGGTGACCCGGCCTGATCATCTCTCGCGTCAACCCAAAGCAACCAAAAGGCCATTTGTGATGTATCCTAACTTTCCTATGACTACTAAGAATAAGACCGAGCTCTCGTGTCACTGAACCCAAAGCAACCAAAAGGTCAATGGAGAGGAGATGAGAAAAGTAAAAAAGAACTTTTAGGCAACCTTCCAGTTCTTTAAGTTTCAAGTTAAAAGCTTGTCGGAGAAGTAACAATAAGAAAGGAAACAACTTTAATAAATAATAAACTTAAAGGAGAATGATAAAGTTCGATCCTTTATGGATTGGTCTCAGCTAGCCAGTGGTGGGCCAACCAGAAGGGGATCGGCATGAATGGGTTTAACTGTTAACAACCTAAAATTCACAGCTTTCTTTTGCTTTGTATTTTTTTTTGTTGACAAGCTAGCAAGCTACTAGTTTTGATCTTGAAGACAACTCGAGGTGAAAACATATCATATCATAGTACCTTATTTCGATCTTCAAGGGATGGAGCAAAGGCTGCAAAGCCCATCGGCCTGTGGCACGAAGGAGGGCATATCGGAGCTCAGGCCATAAAAGTCACATGCAGTTAATAGGGGAAGGAAAAGACTTGTAGCCAAGGTTCTGTTAACTTCCTGATGAATAGTCTTTGGACTCTGTCAAGGCAACATTTTATAAGTTGCCAAGTTAGGAGTGTGAGAGTTAGGAGTGTGGGCACTATGGGGGAGATAAAAGAGGGAGCTTTACATCGGGCTAAGAAGAAAAGGGGGTTCTACGACCTTATAGGAGATAAAAGAGGGAGTTTTACATCGAACCGAGAAGAAAAGGGGCTTCTTGACTTTCGTCTCAGTATGTTTCGGTAACTTAAAGGAGATAAAAGAGGGAGCTTTACATCGACCAAAGGAGAAAAGCGGTTTCTTGACTTTTTTCTCAATTTGTGTCAATATCAGACCATGTGTAACAGTTTCAATCTCTTTGTAGTTTCTTTTCTTGTTTGCATCCCTTGCTAAGTAGGGTTTAGGTTTCTTCTGAGTTAAAATTTGTTCACACGTTCATTCCCAGTTGACTCTTAGGCTGGTTCTGATTTAGGCGACTGTCTCAGTTGTTTCTTTCTACTTGATCTTTGTTCATTCTCACTTGTCTGGTTCGTCTTATGCTCTACATTCCTTTTCATGTATTTTTCAGTTTGCTCTGAGTTGTTCAGGTCCTTGTCAGGTGATTGGATTGTTTTCCATTGATTCTCCATTCACCATCAGTTAGTTTTCTGTTTGTTCTAAGTTTGTTCTCAGGTTGTTGCTCTCAGTAGCTTCTCAGCTTGCTCTCAGATCCTTCTTGGATTATTGCCAGTCAATGCCAGATGGTCCAGACTCCTGATTTATGTCACGGGCTGTATGCAGCTCATTGTCAGTTTTTTCTCATTTTCAGTTCGTACTCTGTTCATTTGTAATTTTTCCTCAGCTCAGACATTATCAATTCGTACCCAGTTGTTCTCAGTTTCTACTTCATCTTTTTTATCCTCAGTTCATTCTCAGTTTCTTCGCAGGTCTTTCTAAGTTTGTTCTCAGTCCTTCAGGTCTTTCTCAATTGACTGGTGTGTTTGCCTTCTTCTCCGTTCACCCTCATGTTTTCCTCTTTTTTTTTTTTTTTCCGTTCTCAGTTTGCTCTTACTAGTTTGTTCCCAATTTTGTTTCACTTTGACTCAGTTTGTTTCTAAGTTTGTTCTCAGTTTGCTCTCGGTAGGTTCTCAGTTTGTTCTCAGATTATTCTCAGTTTTTTTTGTTCTCAGCTTCTTGTTCTCAGTTTTTTTATTCTCAGCTTGTTGTGCTCAGTTTTTTTGTTCTCAGTTTTTTTGTTCTCAGTTTTTTTGTTCTCAGTTTTTTTGTTCTCAGTTTTTTTGCTCTCAGCTTGTTGCTCTTAGGACTCAGCTTGTTGTTCTCAGCTTGTTGTTCTCAGCTTGTTGCTCTTAGGACTCAGCTTGTTGTTCTCAGCTTGTNCTCAGCTTGTTGTTCTCAGCTTGTTGCTCTTAGGACTCAGCTTGTTGTTCTCAGCTTGTTGCTCTTAGGACTCAGCTTGTTGTTCTCAGCTTGTTCTCACATTCTTCATGATTCTTGTTTTTTCGGCAGCTCGTTGAACATGGTTCCCATTTCTGTCTCTGTTCGTATACAGCTCCATTGACAGTGTAGTTCTCGTTTTCAGTTTATGGTACTGCATAGTGCCCAACTCGTTTGTTGTTCCACGTTCGTACTCAGTTTGTGCCCAATGGCATTCGTTATGATTTGCTGTTACAGACTTACAGTTACAATTTGCTCCTCTGTTGCTCCGTGTTTGTAACTGTGTATATGTACTCCGTAACTCGGGTTTTTTCTCTTGCTTCGTTCAGATGCGCCAGTTTTTTCTCTTGGTTCCTTCACTGTTTTTTTTTGTTTTTTTTTCCTTTCCTCCTCAGTCGTTCTTCTCAGGTCTTCATGGCAATCTACCTCAGTCTGGTTACCATCCATCTCTCTACTAGGCCCATCACTCCTTACAACCATATCTTCATCATGTTGCTCAATCATGGCTGATGGTTCATTGGAGACTTTTGGATTACATTCCACATTCCATTTTACAAATAATAGAGTGCGATCAGTTCCCGCACAACTGCCCACCTACGCAAAGGTGTGAGATGATAAATAAGTGAAGCGCACACACACACACACACACACACACACACAAATGCAAACAAACACACAGATCAGACAGAGACGTGGGGGAAGAGTGAAAAAACAAAGGAAACGCAATCGATCTGTGGAGAGAGAGAGAGAGAGAGAGAGAGAGAGAGAGAGAGAGAGAGAGAGAGAGAGAGAGAGAGAGAGAGAGAGAGAGAGAGAGGTGGGGGGGAAGAATGAAAACAAAGGAAACGTAATAGGTCTGGATCAAACACTTGGTAAAGGTGGAAACTTGAAAAACTGACCTTCATTGATGACTTTATCTGTGTAGCTCATGTCCTTGGTGATCATTTGGAAGGTCAGCGTCCCATCAGGACCCATTTGCTTGGCTATGGCGTCGTGCTCTTCGCGAAGCTTGCTCAAGACTTCAGGATGAGCCGGCAAGCACTTGACTAGCCACGTGATCAGGATAGCGCTTGTGTCGTGGCCTGCAAAGAGCAGAGTTAAAATTGTGTCCAATATTACGTCATCTCTGGTCTTCGAGTTTTCCTCGGATCCACCACCTCCTTCTCCTCCGCCTCCAGTATCTCTCCTCCTGTCTTCTCTCTCGTCCATCTTGGACAACGAAGGTGATTTAATGCCCGCCTGCTTGATGGTACTACAAGCCATCTCCTCTTCCAGTTCTATCAATCCCGTAAGCAGATCAAAAGGGAGAGGAGTCCGAGAGGGAGGTGATGCACTTTCTCTCTCCTGGGATTCCCTGTATGCTTTGCGTTCTCCTTGTCCCCGAAGTTCACCTCCTCCTCCTCCTCGTCCTACTTCTCCTCCTCCTCTCACTTCTTCTCCATCTCCCATTCTCCTTCCAGTTCCTTCCTGTCCTCCTCCCTCTCCCGAGTCTCCCCCTCCCTCTCCCGAGTCTCCCCCTCCCTCTCCTTTTCCTTTTGCATCTCGAGATCCATGGTTCTTCTTTACCGTATGAGATTTAAGGTCTAGACTGTCACAGCTTCCCTCCATCATCGACACGGACGACGACGAGACTCCAACACCTCCTCCCTCTCTTCCTCCTTCCGCAGGACTAGAACTCGTGCTAACAAGCCCTTTCGTACTAGCGCCAACGTTTCTACCCCTTTCATTTGAGCCCGAAGAAGAAGAAGAAGAAGAAGTTGAGGAGGAAGAAGAAGAAGAATAATCAGAAGAAGAAGAGGAGGAAGAAGAGGAAGGAGGAGGAGGAGGAGAAGGAGGTAGGAGTAGTGCGGCCGTGGTTCTTCTCTCGCTCAGGATCTGTTGTAGTTCCTTGAGGAGCTCCTCCCTTGCTTTCAGGCTCCGACCAAACGCTGTGACAGGAAGAGCAAGTGGAAGAGAGAAGAGTCCAACGAGCCAGCGCTCAAACAGTCCGCTCAGGCGATCGAGTCTTGGTCCCGGCCTTACACTAACGAACACGTCGCATGCCAGAGTGAAAGCATATCTCTTGATCTCCTCGAAGGCGGCGACAGCCGACATCGCGCGACCGGTAGTAGGATCTTCTCCCGCCGCCTCCCCTCCCCCCTTCCTCCTTCTTCCCTCCCCTCCTCCTCCTCCTCCTCCTCCTCTTCCGTTCTCATCTCGACTGCTGGCCTGATTCCTATCCCCATCCCGATCACGATCCAGCCAGCTGTCCACTACATCGCTAGCGACCCGGTCCATCCGAGGCACATACTGCCTGAGGCATTCAGGAGACAGGGCTTTACCCAGAACTTTCCTCAGCCGTCGATGGCGCGCCCCGGTGATCATAGACACTGCTTCTCGTCCCAGCAGCCGCCTTGTGGACCTGGGCCATTGCACGCGGAACAGATCGTCCTCGTGCGTCAGGACCAGTTTCACTGCCGCCGGTGAGCTCACGCCGATCATCTCTGACCCAAACAGATGAGTCCGGTACACGCCTCCGTGCTTGGCCACGCGGCTGAAGACGAAGGCATCCCGACTCCCCGCTTTCCAATTCTCGTAGAAGAAGCGCAGAGTCTCGCCGATGAAAGGAAGGCCGAGATTGCCAGGGGGGACCAAAGGGAGAGAGCGGCCGGATAGGCAAGGTGCTGACTCTGCTGAGTCTGCTGACTCGCCAACGGAAGTCCCTCCTCCTCTCCCTCGCCACATGAAGAGGTCAGTCAAGCGATGATCCTTCAGAAAGCAGGAGAAGGAGGAGGAGGAGGAGGAGGAGGAGGAGGCGGCGGCGGCGGCGGCGGCGGCGGAGGAGGAGGAGGAGGAGGAGCTAGTGAGGGTGGAGCCGCGCTCCTCAGGGAGGGGACTGGTGTCTGGACCAGCTGCGGAAGAATCTGAACTGCTTCCTGGACCAGCAGATGGATTGATCCTGCTATTTGGACCAGGTACATGTAGGTGATTGCTGCTGCTGCCGCTGCTGGTGCTGCTGCTCCTGCTGCTGGACCAGGTCGGTGGACCGGCAGCGCGACTGGTACTGGTACCTGGACGGCAGCGTGGACCAGATTCAGGCTCGTCAGATCCCGAATCTGAGGACTTGGCCCGGCGGCTCGAGGAAGGAGGCGAGATCGTTTCTGGCGATGGCGACGTGCCTGTCGTGTTACTCAGAAAAATCCGACGGAGGATGATGGCTGGGATCGCGGTAGTACTAAGCAACATCACCATCGCCGTCGTCGTTATCGTTATCGTTGTCGCCGACGCTGCCACCATAGCTGCTCCCGCGCGAAGCAGGAAGAAGAAGATCTTCCCGAGCACGGTGGTTGGCGTTCCCGATCCCGATCCCGGTGCTGACGGACATTCCCGATCGGGAAAAAACGGCAGGCCAGTCATCGTGATTGCCTCTTCCGTCTGCGCCCCCGAACACACTACAATAGCCGCCAACGGCGCCAAGTGCCCCAACTGTTAATTACGTATAATGACCGCACCTTATTGTTAATACGATACGCCGCAATCAATGAAGAAAGCGTCTATTCGTGTACGAACAACTGAAATTCTCTCTCTCTCTCTCTCTCTCTCTCTCTCTCTCTCTCTCTCTCTCTCTCTCTCTCTCTCTCTCTCTCTCTCTCTCTCTCTCTCT